CAGCCCAAAAATCAGCCCAAAAATCACTGAAAATCACCCCAAAATCAGCCCAAAAATCACTGAAAATCACCCCAAAATCACCCCAAAATCAGCCCAAAAATCACTGAAATCACCCCAAAATCAGCCCAAAAATCACTGAAAATCAACCAAAACCCGGCCCAAAATCACTGAAAATCAACCCAAAAATCAGCCCAAAAATCACTGAAAATCAACCAAAAATCACTGAAAATCACCCTAAAATCAGCCCAAAAATCACTGAAAATCAGCCCAAAATCACCCCAAAAATCACTGAAAATCAACCAAAAATCACTGAAAATCAGCCCAAAAATCAGCCCAAAAATCACTGAAAATCAACCAAAAATCAACCAAAAATCAGCCCAAAATCAGCCCAAAAATCACTGAAAATCAACCAAAAATCAGCCCAAAAATCAGCCCAAAAATCACTGAAAATCAACCAAAAATCAGCCCAAAAATCACTGAAAATCCACCAAAAAATCACTGAAAATCACCCCAAAAATCACTGAAAATCAACCCAAAATCAGCCCAAAAATCACTGAAAATCAACAAAAAATTCACTGAAAATCAACCAAAAATCAGCCCAAAAATCACTGAAAATCAGCCCAAAAATCACTGAAAATCACCCCAAAATCAGCCCAAAAATCACTGAAAATCACCCCCAAATCAGCCCAAAAATCAGCCCAAAATCAGCCCAAAATCAGCCCAAAATCACTGAAAATGGGGCCAAAAATCACTGAAAATCAGCCCAAAAATCTCTGAAATTCACCCAAATTCCCCGAAATCCATCAGGAATCCCTAAAATGCCCCCAAATCCCCTCAGATCCCCCCGAAATCCCTCGGAATTCCCGGAATTCCCCCCAGAGTCCCCAAAATTCCATCGGGAATCCCCCAAAAATCCCCCAGAATTCCCTAAAATCCCCCTGGAATTCCCAGAATTCCCTCCCCAAAATCCCTCAAAATCCTCCCAAAATCCCTCGGAATTCCCAGAATTTTCCCCCCAAAATCCCTCAGAATTCCCAGAATTTTTCCCCAAAATCCCTCAGAATTCCTGGAATTCCCTCCTCAAAATCCCTCAAAATCCTCCCAGAATCCCCCTGGAATTCCTGGAATTTTCTTCCCAAAATCCCTCGGAATTTCCAGAATTCCCCCCAAAATCCCCCAGAATTCCCAGAATTCCCCCCAAAATCCCTCAAAATCCTCCCAAAATCCCTCAGAATTCCCAGAATTTTTCCCCAAAATCCCTCAGAATTCCCGGAATTCCCCCAAAATCCCCTGGAATTTCCAGAATTCCCCCAAAATCCCTCAAAATCCTCCCAGACTCCCTCAGAATTCCCGGAATTTTTCCCGAAATCCCCCTGGAATTCCCAGAATTCCCCCAAAATCCCTCGGAATTCCCTCCCAAAAATCCATCAGGAATCCCTAAAATGCCCCCCAAATGCCTGGGAATTCCCAGAATCTCCCCCAAAATCCCTGAAAATCCTCCCAAAATCCCTCAGAATTCCCGGAATTTTTCCCAGAATTCCCGGAATTTTTCCCAGAATTCCCGGAATTTTTCCCAGAATTCCCGGAATTTTTCCCGTTTTTCCCGCTGTTTTCCCGCTCACGTTCCGTCGTGGCTGAGGGCGAGGCCGCGCACGGAGCCGCGGTGAG